TACTTTTTCTATTCATTTGGATAATCTTGCCAAAAAATTCAGGATTAAACTATGATTTTACTTTAGAAACAAGCATTGTTTTAATCTCACTGCCAAAAAGAGACTTGTCATGGCTACCTTTCTTCCCATGATTGATTATGGTGATGTTCTTTATATGCATGCCTCTGCTGCATCCCTTAAGGCTATAGACACAGTCTATCATGGTGCCTTGCGTTTCATTTTGAATGCCAAATCTGTCACCCATCATTGTTTCTTATATGAAGGGACTGGTCTGATATCACTAAACTATCGCAGATGGCTCCACTGGCATATTTTTATCTACAAAGCCATCTTAGGGCTACTCCCTGGCTATTTGAACCACCTCCTCAATCGCTCTACTAGTGGGTACAGCCTGTGCTCTCAGGACTTTTTGTTGTTCTCAGTCCCTCGCGCCTTCACTGAATTTGGGAAGACCGCTTTTAGTTACTATGCCCCTTGGTCCTGGAATCAGCTCCAGAAAACGCTAAAATTGGCTGACCTTGTTTCCTTGGGTGATTTTAAATGTTTGTTACAGTCTGTAAAAACAGAAGTCTGCAGCTGCTTTCTTTGAATTTGATGTGTACTGTATGTACTTTATGTATCTATGTACTGTTGTGTTTATGTTTTTTGTTGTTGTATTGTTGTAACTTTGGTTTGCTGCCTTCTTGGCCAGGGCTCCCTTGTAAATGAGATGTCAATCTCAATGGGACTCACCTGGTTAAATAAAGGATAAATAAAAAAAATAAAATCCAACCGGAGCACCGAGCCCCGGTTGTTATTTAGGTTAAAGTGGGAAGAAGCAGCGGGCAGAGTGAAGTGGAGCCTGCGGAGGAAACACTGGAACCGTCTGGATGCAAAAATAAGGGTCAAAAATTAATCGTGTTAAATTATGGTGATCACAATATTGACCAAAATAATCGTGATTATGATTTTCGCCATAATCGAGCAGCCCTAGTTTGTACCCCTCTTTTCACATGTATCCTTTCGTACAATAACTTGGTTTCACTCTCCCATTATCTTCTACAATTGTGAATTTATTTTTAATTTTTATAAGGAACCTTCAGCTGATGCTGATTCTGAGTCACCCTCAGACTGGACCAGTACCTCAGAGGAGCCCTGCTTCTCTGAGGCTGAACAAAGACCAAGCACTCCCCTAGCGGAATCCACCAAATAGAATGATTTAATTGGTCAAGTGCAAGTGTGGAAACCATGGGCCACAGGCCAAAGACAGGACACAAAGAACATCTGGAGACAGAGCAGAAAAGCCATATTTACAGGTATGTGTATGTGGGTTTGTGTGTGAATTATGGAAGATTCTGAATCTACAATCTGGACTTGTGGACGTGAAGCAGTTTGTGTTTGCAAATGCTAATGAGTAACAATATAAGCTGATTTCTTGATATTGTTGCCTGGCGAGGAAAACGTTGTTGCAATTATGTGTAAATCCTGTATGATGGAGGATCTGCAGGTATCGATTTTGTTCTTCTTTGTGATCATATACAGTAGGCTGTACCCTGTCAGTGTAAATCCTGTATACGTTACAGATGTTTCCAACAAATAGCTGTCCATAATACAAAACCCTGTTTGTGTGTGTGTGTGTGTATTCGGGGGGGCCCTTCAAGAATTTGTGCCCAGGGGTCCCTGCCCTCTTAATCCGGGCCTGACACAGCCAAGTAGTTTTCTTGTCAGTCAGACACTACAATATCCATTACAGGAAAAAGGATAGGATACTGCATCTTGCTAACTCGGCCATTCTGGATGTCACTAACTCGGCTTCTTCTCCGGAGCCTTTGTGCTCCACTGTCTCTCAGAATAACTCATACCGCAGCGGTGCCTGGACAGTGTGACGTGTGTGGTTGTGCTGCTGCCGTGGTCCTGCCAGATGCCTCCTGCTGCTTCTGCCATCATTAGTCATTAGTCATACTTCTACTGTTATTATACACATATGACTATTGTCACACAAGTATACTGTCAGATATTAATACATACTTTCAACATATTGTACCACAGTAGCCAGAACTATAACTATAATATTATTACTTTCATTAATGTTGTTGTAAGCTACTGTCATTACCTGCATCTCTCTCTCTGTCTCTCTCTCTGTCTCATTGTGTCATGCGGATTACTGTTAATTTATTATGCTGATCTGTTCGATACGACATCTATTGCACGTCTGTCCGTCCTGGAAGAGGGATCCCTCCTCAGTTGCTCTTCCTGAGGTTTCTACCGTTTTTTTTCCCCGTTAAAGGGGTTTTTTTTTTGGGGAGTTTTTCCTTATCCGCTGTGAGGGTCTTAAGGACAGAGGAATGTCGTATGCTGTAAAGCCCTGTGAGGCAAATTGTGATTTGTGATATTGGGCTTTATAAATAAAATTGAATTGAATTGAATTGAATTGAATACACATTCCCTATACTTTGCCCCACTGAAAAGGCACTGCACCGATATCAGACATGAAGTAACGGCATAGCTCATCCCTGTGCTGCTTGGCTCATGCTGTAGCATTGGTTGTGTGCGGCAGGGAAGCCTGCTGTAGGTCAGGATCTTGTCTCTGTCTTCCTGGGACAGTGTCATGATTTGGTCCTTCCTGGTCAACGATCCCTGCCATGTATTAGTCACAGCTCTCGGTCCGCAGGAAGTTGTGCAGAGCACAGCAAGCCAAAATGATGTCCTCCACTTTGGCAGTGTCTTGAATGTTAATGGTGGTCAGAAAGACCCGAAAACGATTGGCTAGGATTCCAAAAGTGTTTTCTACCACCCCCCGAGCTCATGACAGCCTGTAATTGAAGATGTGTTGCTCTACAGATAGCCTGTGGTTCGGATATGGCTTCATGAGGTACTCCTTCAAGGGAAATGCCTCATCTGCCACAATGCAATAGACCCCTTTGGCGTTTGTAAGCACGATGACATATTTTTGTGGGCGGAGCGTCTGTGAAGGCAAAAAGAACGTTAGCCGACGCAGCGGCTGGCTAGCTAGTTTTATATCTATTTTAGCAAAGAAAGAAGTTTAACATTTTAGCACACAATGGCTCAAGAAAAGGAAAGTTTGTCAGAGTATGTGCAGTCACTCACTGTCCGTGACCACGAGTGTTACTTGAAAAAATTAACATTAACCGATGGATGGACGATGTGACAGGATTATCTACGGTAGAATGGCCAGACATTTACACGTACTTGATAGAGAAACCAAGCGTGTATACTAAAGAGAAACTGAGGGCATTTCGATCTTTAGATGCCTATAACTTTGTCATCAGTGGTCACGTACAGCACCTGGAATACAAAGATTTAAATGATGAGTTTTGTGTTTGTGTTTTGAGCTGAAGTTCTACCTAGCCAGTGGCAAGGCCAGAAGACAACCATGTACCAGGCTTGGGTTATTGTAAATAGAACAAACAGCTACGTCTTCACGGCGAACTGCACTTGCATGACTGGGTAAGTAACCTACATCTCATATCTTAAAGTGTTTGTCACCCATTAAGCTAGCTAACGACACTGCCATTTTGTTATGATATATACCATATGAAACTGCAAAATGTTTGACAACCATTACAGTTAACTACAAATGTTAGCTATGTCTGTGTTGTTAAGAGATTAGCAACATGTCATTGCTCAGTTTCATTTTTCTATGTGACATGGCAGCCTAGGGTCTTGTTGCAGCCATGCAGCAGGGATACTATTTAAGGTGGAGCTGTATGTTAGGATGGGGAGAACAAGCAGCCAGCCGTCACATCAGGAGTCTGCCTCTGGAAAGAGACAAGGAGAGAGGTCAAACCAACAAGGCTTAGGGACATCAACTTCCAGAGGCCTACAACAAGCCAGATGACAGCAGTCCCAGCCAAAGTCAGGAGCTTTAGGAGCAGTGCTAGAGGCATGCACCAGTATAGTATAGAACAGGATATAACAAATACTTCAACAGAATAAAGAGAACACTTGATCTATTTTCATTTCTCTCACGATTGATCCATTAACACACAAGTACTCTACTGCTCACTTACCTGTTACGTTCACATGATTGCATAATTATTTCATTAGATGCCAATTATCCAAGAGAATGTGTGTTAAATATTGTTGTCTTATTTCCTTCCTCTAGAACTCACAGATGAAGACATCCAAGAACTTCGTGTCATTGCCCCTGAGGCTGCCGTTCTCACCAGCATGGAGAACAGTGACACTGACACAGCATCGGAGTCTGGGGATGCTGTGGATCCTCCAGAGCTGCCAGAGCCACTCACTGCCATGTACGAGCCTGCACTCAGACAGCAGACACCACTGGACTTAAGAGAGAAATGTGAGGAGGCCTATCTCAACATGAAAAGTCACATCCACCCTGACCAGTGTAAGAGACTGGAAGCCACAACAAAACAGCAGGCAAAGTCCAACGAATGGTACACTCACAGGGCTGGCAGGATTACCAGCACAACATTTTATAGTGTATGTACAGGTGACTACTTATCCAAATCCACCCTGGAGAAAATCATGCACTATAATGACAGCAACATAGAGGTTCCAGCAGTTGTGTGGGGAAGAGAGAAGGAGGAAACAGCTAGGCATACCTAGCTGTTTCCTCCAGTAGAATCCAGTAGAATACCATTAGAAAAAAATCATTAGGAACCATTAGGTTTCTGATGGTTCCTAATGGTCTAATGGGAATTGGAACCCCATTAAGAACCATTAGAAGAAACCATTAGAGACCTAATGGTCCCATTAGGATGTTAAACCACTAGAAAGCTGCTGGTTCCATTAGAATGTAATACCACTAGAAAGCTACTGGTTCCATTAGGAGCTAAAACCATTAGAAAACTGGTCCCATTAGGATCTAAAACTATTAGAAAAACAGACTGAGAAACCTACTGCTGCAACAGAAATTATAGCAGAGTCCTAACACTGGGCACAAGAGACATGTCTATACATATGTGTAATTGTGTATGTATTTGGATATTTTCCCCTCCGATTTGGGAACAGGACATATGGGGCGTGACAACTTATTGCAGTTTGTGATTTTAATTACATTTTTTCAGAACATAAACCATCAAGAACAAAGTTAAAACATATTGAACAAATATAAACAGACAAATATGGGAGGGAGATAGGGACAAGGGAAGTGGGGTGTTGACAGCATGACCCCCACTAAAAAAATCTTCCAGCTTCCCTGGAGGGAGATGAAGTTGAGGTGTCTGTAGGGATAGCAGTTTAGTCACTCAGCAGTTTAAGTGTCTTTTGGTTTTCCCTGGAGACAAAAATATTCATATTTTAGTCACAGCCTGACTTTCAAGACATAGGAATTTCAAGAACATTTCAAGACTTAAAGGGGAAGTATGGTTTTTAGCACCCTGGACCCTATTTTCCCATCTACTTTTATCTAAATGAGTGGTGGGATTTTCAATATTTGCAGTTGCTCCAGTACAAAGTGAGGGACTGCAGGTCCAAAGCTTGTTTCAATGTATTCCAGTGGGGCAATTTAAAGTGTTGATATGTTACATTTTCACCTGCAGTCCCTCGCCTTGTCCTGGAGCAATTGCAAATATTGAAAATCCCACCACTCATTTAGATAAAAGTAGATGGGAAAATAGGGTCCAGGGTGCTAAAAACCATACTTTCTCTTTAAGGAATAAGCCTCTCTTTGCAACAATCATATTGAATTATCTGACAACTGACACCCTTGAAAAAGGTAGGCTCTCTTTTTCAAGACACCTTAAGCACTTTGCAATGGTCATCTCATTACGAACCAAAGCAAAGGTAGCTAGTGTGCACTGCAGCCCACAACACATTATTTTGGGGTGACTGTGGCCCAGATGGTAACGCAGGTTAGCACCTTGCATGGCAGCTCCCGCCATTGGTGTGTGAGTGTGTGTGTGTGTGTGAATGGGTGAATGAGAGGCCATTGTAAAGTGCTTGAATGCCTCAGCTGGTGGAAAGCGCATCGGCTCTAAAGTGCACGGCGCTGCTGATTAACCATTTTATTGCAGCACAGAGTGTCTGCCAGCAACCGATTACTTGCAGAGGCTTCCTACAACTTGTTTCAACGGTTCCAATTTAATCAGAAGACAAATTAAACAGGATGACTAGCCAATGTGAAAATCAAAATAAAGCACAGAATAATGTACTGAAGGAGACTGTTGTGCCATCACATGTTTTTTGTGGTTTGAGAGCAAAGATCCAGTCACCGCTGTGCAAAACGCAATATAATTAGGTCCGAAAAAACCCCGGAGGAGTGCTTCGCAAGGAGTCTTTGAAAGGAGCCGAGCCTGGCGTAAAACCGGAGAGAGCAGGCAGCATGGCCACAGCACGCACCCTGTTCGTTTCTGCTGCTGGTTGAAATCTGGACTCGCACTGCATGCTGAATGATTTATTTTGCTGGCACAAAACTATTTTTAGTCGCAAATGCGAATAAAATGCTCGCACGTAGAGCTCTGTGGAAAACAAATCACTGCCGACAAGTAAAAAGTCATAAATAATAACTTTCACTGCTCAAAGATACTCACATCTGGAAAACAAACCACTACAGCAGCATATTGAGTGCCAGGTGGCCAGTGCGCACCGTTAAGCCCTTTTCACACAGAGTGCGCAAAGCGCAGACCTCCGCCGACGAACCTATTCATTGTGTATGTGCTACCGCCAGCGCGCGCCGTTACTGGACGGCGCATGGACACTCACAGAAAAGTGCCGCGAGAATAAAAAAAAAGAAAAGAAAGAAAGTCAGATTAAATATTCCTTCCGCAACAATTTTAAGACCTTTGAGTAATGAATTTAAGACCAATGTAAGACATTTCTAATGAATTTAAGACATTTTCAGGCCTTACTTTTAGATACATGAATTTAAGACTTTTTTAGACTTTTCAAGGATCCGCGGGTACCCTGTGTCTGTCATTTATATCTTGCATATTTTGTGACTTACCGGTTTTGCTCTCCTCCATGTGCTCTCATGGCACGGTTGCATCCCCTGTCCCTGGCACCAATCAGCCATTTTGGCACTGCTTTTTCCGCATCTTTCCTCTTTGGTGAGGGAATTTTTTTTCAAACTCCCTGTAAGTGACATCCAGAAAGAGCATAAGAGTGAGGCTCGTTATTGTCTAATTCGAGGCACTTTGTCAAGGTGAGCTTATCAGGTGATGGATCAGAAATGAAGATCAAGCTACTCAAAGCGGTCTTTGCTATTTTATCATTAAAAGTCAAAGCGGCACAAGATTATATTTAGGAAGGAGTGTCAAGTGTTCCCAATGCAGTTGCTTTATGACACTGATGATCAATGAACAGTGTGCTCAAAACAACTGATGTTGTGTTGAGAATAAATAAATAGCATTAGAAATGTTCCGTGCACATATTCACTTCTCAGTAATTAATTAAATGATCTAAGCCACAACGGTGTCAGTTTGTTATTAACTTGGATTTTTAGATATAGACAGAAGACGGGGGAAACAATATAGGAAATGAAATGATGTTTATGGAATGTTTATTTGGAGTTGGGTAAGTTTATGATGTTTTTTATGCTTCAGACTCTGCCATGTTGGACAGCCAGCGCAGTTGTTTCTGCCGTTGCCATGACAACGCGCGTCCATGAACCGGTCACCTGTTAACCTGAAACACCGGTCAGTCACGGCTTTTCACATGTCCGAAAATGTCGCAGCAGATTTACAAACAGGCGTTCTTTGGATAAGCTAACCACATATGGGGAATCTACATGGTTGCTTTCTCGCCTGAAAAAATGTTAAATCTTAATAATGTGACTCAACAGTCCCACTGTGAAAACTGCAGCTGCTTGTGACTCTGCTAGTCTCCACTCTGTTCTCCTACAGAAAAACACTGTTTTTTCATTTCCGGTTTTCCGTTTTGGTTTCAAGATGGAAAAACGGACCCATTTGCTTATTTTTCTGATTTTGTTTTGAAACGGAATAATGAAAGATCGAACCATACAGAGTTGCTCACTAAAGCCCAGCATACACTGTACGATTTTTGACCGGATTTGACCCGATTTTTGAGACGCATCTTTTGCCATGCAGTGTAAGGGGGGGGCGAGGGCCGATCATCTGTTCCAGAACCATGGTCGGACGGTCGGATGATTCGCACAGTTGAAGCAGAGCCACGAGGCAATTCGCCAACGTCTCTATTTATCCATCACTGCGCCTGCGCGAAGACATAGATCACCATGGTGACGCGTCAGTGGACTGAAAATATGGAGGCCAGGTTGGTTGAGCTGTGGCAACAGTATGAGTGCCTCTTTGACGTTTCTTCTTCCACCTACCACGACCGCTATCAACGGGAGAAACGCTGGCAGGAGATAGCAAATATTCTTCAGCTGCCTGGTAAGTTTTTTCTGCTTTCATATTCAAGCAAGCGCAACAAACATAGGCTACAAGCTAGCGCGCTAGATGAGTTAACGTTACAACGGCAGTTACAACGGTTACAGTTACACACACACACACACACAGAGGGTGCACCCTCTGTGTGTGAGGGGGTGCACCCTCTGTGTGTGTGGGGTCCATGCCATTGGTCCGACAGCCCATTAGTCCGACGTCCTGTTGTTCCAATATGTGATTATTACTGTGTTTGTGTACCATAGAGGATCAGCAACGCAACAAAAGTAGGCTACTGGTCGAGATACAAGTGCCATAGAGAGGAGAGAATGAAACACCATAACCTCCTGTTATTAACTCTGGGGTCCGGGTTGTGTGGGGAGCTCTCCATGGTGCTGAACGGCCCCCGGCGGGCGTATTTCTGCCTTGATGGTGCGCTGGGACCGGCTCTGGGTCAGCTGGGAAAGGCTTGAGGCGAAGCAGGCTCACGGCTTATGTGTTTGCCACTTTCTTTTTCATTTTAACCCACACCATGATCTTTTCCTAACCCTAACCAAGTGGGTTTTGTGCCTAAACCTAACCAGACCTTAACCACAGGGCATCATGATGATTTCGGAACAACGGGACTTCGGAACAATGGGTTTAATATGGTCGGAACAATGGGCTGTCGGAACAATGGGCAGTTCCCGTGTGTGTGTGTGTGTGTGTGTGTGTGTGAGAGAGAGAGAGGGAGAGAGAGAGATAGACAGAAAAAGAGAGAAAAAGAAAGAAAAAGAGAGAGAGAGAGAGAGAGAAAAAGAGATAACGTTAAAGAAAAAAAGAGAAAAATAAAGACAGAGAGAGAGAAAGAGAGAGAAAAGGAGAAAGAGAGGGAAGAGAAGAGAGAGAATCAAAACTTGGACTGACCTGTTTTTGTGCATATAGGCTATATGAGAAGGACATATGAAACAGACTACTGCAGATCAATTAGGCTACAAAAGAAAAAAAATGTTCATTGTACTTTTGATTTGTCTGGCCAGGGTCCTAATGTGTTCCCATCTTTATGCAGTCAATGAAGTGAAAACCAGAGCTGCATCTCTCAGGACCCAGTATGGTAAACTTGTGAAGCCAAAAGCAAGTGGCAGTGGACAGAAGCCACTAACACCAAAACAAAGATGGATCCTGGCACACTTGGAGTTTTTAAAGCCCCATATGACGCACCGAGCAACGGAATCGACCTTGAGAGTAAGTGTTTTCGAGCATGTGCAATCCGAAAAGGCACAGTTCAGCAAAAAATTAACATTCTGTCATGATCTATTCACACTCATGGATTGAAGGATGGGTTAAGTTTTTTAGTTCACAAAACACTGCTGGTGTTTCAGAGGAAAGGGGTTTGCAGTTATTGCCCTAACAATTGAAGCAAATGGTGACCAGAATTCAGATTTAATTAAAATACATAATACAACCATTTAATTCCTCCACAAAGCTCATAACAAAGTATTCCAGGTGTCCTAAAGCCCTGACATGCACTGCTGTATTAATAGCATCACTGAAGCCATGTTTTTAGCCTTACTTGTATGCCATGTTTGATCATATGTGAACATGGCTCCCATATAAAAAGCCACCGGCTACAGTACACATTAAGGTTAAAAACATAGTGTTTCTGACATTTGCCAAAACAGGACACTTGGATAATTACTTTGTATGAGTTATGTGGGGGCACGGTTTTATTATACATTTTATTTTGGTTTGAACCAATGTCACCATTTCATTCAAATGTTTGGGGGATAACTGCAAACTGTTTTCCTCTGAAACACCAACAGTGCATTGTGAGCTAAAAAACTTCCCCCATCTTTCCACTTCCATGAGTGTGAGTAGATGACTGAATTTTAATTTTTGGGTTACCTGTCTGTCACTTTCAGTTGTGCTGAAAAGATTTTGATCTCAACAAAAAGGTCTAGTTGGCATCCCTA